AGGTGAGAATTAGGAGTTTAAACAAGTTTAAATATGATCAGTACTTGTTAACTTAAATTTACAGTTATGCTTCCTAAAATGAAGGCAATTTGCATTTGTATAGCACTTTATAACACACAACAAATTTTACAAATATTCTATAAGTTGATTTTATGAAAAAATGAAAAACACAGCTCCTCCATTCTCTTCCTAGTACTTGAGACCCCAATTTATACTTCATCCTCAACTACACTTCTGTTTACTCATTCATCAGATGTTAATTTGAGTACCAAATATGTGGCTGGCACACCGCTGGTGAATCTGACAGCTGAATGAATGGCAGTCTTCTTTGCATAGCAAAATGGTAGGGTAGGTAGTATGTCATATACATGCTGTAGGAGTTCTTAATAAAGGAAGGCCCTTAAAGGCTAAAGTAGAGAGAATCAGAAGATTTTCCTGGAAGCTGGGTTGTTGCAATAGACTTGTTAAAAATACAATTTAGAAGCAGAAAGAGACTTTCAGGCAGGGGAAAGGGGAACAGTCTGAGCAAAGGCATGGAAGCAGGAATGGGAATTTTTTAGGGACCTGCAGAGAAATGGTTCAATTCCTTATATTAAGTATGTAGAAAGCAAGAAATTTTGACAAGTAGTTTGGGGCCTGATAATGGAGAACTTTGAATATCAGACAGAGGATTTTGGACTTGATATTATAGGTGGTAAAGCATCATAGTGCACTCTTGAAAATTATGTTTTATGAAAATCATTCCACAGGACTGTAGTATGAATTGAAGAGGGCATAGTTAAAGGGTAGAGAGACTAGTTGGAGGCTTGAAGAGATAAGATTAAAGCTATGATAATGGCTATGAGGTGCTGGCTCCATAAGGGACAAAGAGAAAGAATAATAGACAATATGTACACTACTTTTACACTGTGTCAGTATTTAGTTTGGACAAAAATGCTGGGAAGTGGGTATTATTAATCCAATAAGTTTGAGGTACATCTCAATTTTACCCTTGATGAAACTGATGCACAGAAAAGTTAACTAACTTGTCCAGGGTCACACAGCTAGTAAGTGGTACAGTCGGATTTGCCCCCAGGCAGAATAGCTTGAGAGTCTATATTTTAAACCAGTATGTAAGATTTGGCTCTGGATGACCAGGAGCAGGTGGTATTGAGGAGCACCCAGCTGAACTAAAGTCGACAACAGGATGTCTAAGTAGAAGTGCGGAACTGGCTTTCAGGCCTCATGTATCTGATAGTCATTAAGGTAGAGGATGAAGGAAAGCAATAAGAATCAGCAAAGGAGAGAAAAGAGCAAAGGGCCCAGGAACGATCAATGTCAGAGGAATAAGAGGAGAGTTCAGGTGAAAAAGAAACTAGGAAAGAATGATTGGCTACAAAGGAAAACCACCTTTGTACAGTATCTTGCAAGCCAGGCAGGACAAGATTTACAGAAGTAAGGAGTGGCCAAGAAACTTCAAGAAGATTAGGAACTGGGAACAGTCTACTGGATTTTGAACAGAGGTCATTAATAGAATCAGTTCTAAAGAGAATACTTCTAACTTATTTATAGAAGATCTATAATATACCAAGCACTTTGTATGTAAATATTAGTTATTCCTTTAGAACAACTTTGTAAGATGGACATAATAATACAGATGAAGAAATGGAAGCTCAAAGAAGGAAAATAACTCAACTAAGTTCAATCATGGATAGAACTGAGATTTATTCTACTTCAAAACCATCCTACTTCTAGATTTAGACCCCTGCCAGACAAAACAAAACTAAACAAAAACCACTGTACTCCTACAAGTTATGAAAGAAATGGATGATTAGAAGTAGATTGAAAGTGATGATTTGTTTATATATTTCACTGTCCTAATTTTTGCTTTGTGGTCCCAAGGGAAACAGATCTTTGTCGGATTTATTGACTGTTACTACATGTAATTTGAGGAGGTGAAGACCTTATGTACTAAATTCCCTATGCTTGCCCCCTGCAAAATTTTCCTATATGAGACTCTTATGAACACTCACAGGGTTGGGGGAATGGTAGGTTGCCACTAGCAGAGTGATCTGTAGCTTTTCCTGACTTGTTAGTTATGATCTCAATTGCCTGACTGTTCCACTTCTTTCACTACTTCAGCTGATGACTCATCTATCCACTGTTCTCCCAACATCCACAAAATGAAGTAGTGGGTTAAAAAACACAAATGAGGGGAAAAAAAGTTACATTTGTGAACTAACATGGCCTTTAGCTTTGCTGTGAATGCTCAGGGGCTAATCTAAACTTTTCTCCGAAGAGAGATCAAGGATTGTTTATAGTTGCTGTGTGTTTGAGGTAACCCAGAACATACCATACCTAAAGCGATGTGCAAGACACTGAAAAAGTTGACCACAGCAGAATTAGAACTGCTATTCCAAAAAAGCAATGATGAAATACAATTTCAAAGAGTGTTCTAGACTTTGGTAAAAGCTCCTCTATGAAACTTGCCTTTCTAGATTTTGGCTCAGTGTACCAGAGAGATTATTCTATTTTATTAAACCAAGCTTTATTCAACAGTGCTTGGAGAGATTATAATCTATGAAGGAAAAAACAAAGTCCTTACGCAGCTGAAGGGAAGAGCATAAAAGGCTCCTTTGGCCATCAACAATGTGAGAAGAAACAGTAAAGTTGTGCTTTCCCAGGTTATTTTTTTCCATTGATCATGCAAGGATTCATCAGCCATTTCATCACAGCGGAAAGGCTGATGAATCTAAATTTATGAGTAAACGTTTGTTCTGGGAATAGATGAAATCAGCAATCCAGGGGACTCAGCAGGAGGGAGTAGGGACTTTAAGAAGGAAGACTCAAGGGAAAATCTCTCCGGTGAATCAGGGCCCTACGCAGTGTATATCAGGAGTTGGCTCTTAACCTTCAGGCAGGCACTTCCTGCTGAACTTTGGGAAATCCGCCAGTATTGTAATTAACACTCCTCTCCCAACAATGTGTGCTTCTCTCAGGCAAGAAAGAGAATAAAGTCCTCATCTTTTTTGATGGCAAGATCACTGCAAATAATGTGAAGCTCTTCATTCTCTTCTGTAGGACTGAATATTTTAGGGAGTATGCATGATGACTGGACCATCATGGGCAAAGATTAGGGGTCAGAATCCACTATTTCACCCTCTAAGTGAAGGCTGTAAACCAGAGGCTGAGCGAGGGTGGCCCCAGCTAAACCACTGTGGGAGGAGTGGTGGTGGCAGCATTGCCACAACCTGGGACTGCCATCTCTGCCTTCT